CTTCAAATAATAAAAAAATAATAAATAAAAGATAAAAACGCTGCCAAGACTATCAAAATGTTGATCTAATAACAATTTGACGTTTATACTATTACGGGACGTTCTGATACTGTCACACCCCATTTTGTGGGTTATGACTAGGGGCATAGCAAATAATAAATACTTCAATTTAACTTAATAATCAATTTAATTAATCTACGAATAATAAAATAATTATAAAACTAAATGTGTACTTAGATATTATATTTATGGACGAACATCATCACTGGCTCGGGGGTAGTGTCAGGGTAGTGTAACGCCAATGCCCGAATCTCGACCGCGACCTTATCGAACTTACTATCGACTATCCACTGTCGACTATCCACTCAACAGGTGACATTTTTGTATTTATTGGTTCGTTACGTCGAATCATCGAATCAGCATTATTGGTCTATTGGTGCGATGACCGGTGTGATGACCGCGTTAGTGCTGATTTGATGATTTTATAAATTCGTAGTATTGAAAGGAAATATTTTCGCAATTGCCAATTATGCTTATAACTTTGATTTTTAAAACTTTACTTTTGTTGCGTAAATGCCAATGAACTTTAATTATTTTATACTTCCTTTCAATCGAATTATTAATTTACGAAATATATTAATATTAAATATGTTATTTTATATATCGAATAATTCCATCCTTGACAATACTATTTCCATTTAAACTCCAACTCTTCCAACTTTAAAATATGAGTTAAAAGACTAAAAAGAATTTGAGAAATACTTGGTATGATAACAATGGGTTCAATATTTCTTCAATGCGTCCTTTAATACAATTCTGTAATCAAAATCGTATGAACTATTTTTTATATTTTAGTTATTTTTTTTTATATTTTAGTTAACAGTTTTTTTATATTTAAGTTTAAACTTTGGTTAAGTTTTTTAATTTTTATTGTAAATTAAGGCTATGTGGCGACAGGTAATTTTTAGTCGGCCGATTGTTTAATTGCAAAAGTGAAAACAAAACTTCCTTATGAAGCCGGTCGGCCGACTCCATAAGAATACATTGGTTACAAATGTGCAACTAAATAAGCTGCTAACTAAAAATTGTATGTCAGCGCGTAGACTAAACGTTATCTTGTTCTACTATAGTCTGTCTAACGAGAAGATCCTTGACAGTGATAGATGTGTCTGTCATTTTAATTTAAAAGTAGTTTATTTTATTTTACAAAGAAATAAGTTGGTACAACTGGAACACATAGCAGGAAATTAATATATGTATTTAAAATTTGACTGACAAGTAACTTCAAAATATTGTGAAAAAAAAATGTATAAAACTGAAAAAATGTAATCGAGTTATTTTATTTAATAAAAAACGGTATGTGTTAATACAAAACAAACAAAAACAAGACACCACATACCAAAAAATATAAAAAAGAACTATTTCTTACTTTCAAGCTTTATGAAACTTTTCGCATTTATGATTATATTTATCAATATAACTTATGTACAAATACAAATTTGTAATATTCCGCAGGAATAAATAAAACAACATAAATAAAGCAAACTATTTTATTAATAATAACACTTACCAAATTTTATACCTCACAGGTTGATTAATTAACTTTAATCTTAATTTTTTTAAACCAGTACCTTTTGACATTATTTTTCTGCAGTACTAAAATCCATTATTTACCTATCGTGTGATGTCGATATTTTACAGCTACTCCAGTTTTTAGTATGTGTTTAGTATGGTCCTTCTACCATATTCGAGATGCACTTATCTACGACGAGATGGTATACGAACTTTATTGATGGTAACTTTATTGGTGTATAAGACTTTCTGCCTGGGGAGCGAGTATTAACCATAAACTGTGCTCTGGGTTCTACAGTTAATTTTCACTCGATTTTTCCTCCACTTGACTTCAAAAGACCCAAAACACTCGTAATAAACACGAATCAAAATGCATCATCTTCCAAAACGCAGGGTATTTGACAAAAGTTTATAACCTATAATTTGGCAAGACTTTGACAAACGTCAAAAATCTAAAGGCGAGTTCATACGCATCGGCGTCCGTTTGTCGTTCATCGTTCCGTCAAACCAATAAAACTGAAATACGATCTGTCATTTTTGAAATAAACCAATAAAACTGGTTAAAAACAACAAGTGACGACGCATGACGAATTTATATTTAAACCCATCCATAGTTAACTTAAAAAGTATTAGAAACTTTTTTTAGTAAAATAAATAGATTGGTATGGGACGTCATCTGCTTTTCTTCTGTCATCGTCCGTCAAAATCTTACCTGAGAAAAAAAACAGAGTATAGATTCTTTGCTTTGTATATGATAAATTGATTTTCCTCGTTGACAATAAAACACAATAAGTTTAATTGTTTGCCTGTTTGATTTTGTTCGTTCTAAACCTATATAATAATTATTTCATTACTTGAATCCAGCCATATGTGAAATTGAATGGCCTCATTTTTGTTTGAGTTTCGGTAAATGATTCCATCTCTTTTATTTCATTTAACATCCACCGCTATCAATTCAGTAATAAATTTTGCGTATTACGGCGTACAAATAGGTCTCGATTACAATACACTGTTTGGCAAACTTAATATGTCCATGCAACTATCGAACTAAATTAATTGAGCTTTAGATACACAAACCAGACGCTTTATGACCTGTAGGTATATAGATCTATGGTGGCAAATTGTTGGATGTGAATACGCCGAGCATGATGAAATGCAGTAAACAAGGAATTATACAAAAATATGATACAAGCAAACTATAAGTGACTATTATACAGGGTAATTCAAATTTCACTCCCAATACGAGGAGTGCCCTTAATGTGCCTATAGTACAGTAAACCTAGCCGAGTATTGTATGTAAAGGTGGCTCAGATTTTGAATAAACAGCGATTTTTCAATAAAATTGTAATCAAGATGGCTAGTATCGCCATGGCACTTTTCTAGTGACACTTAGATCTTCAAAATCGACATTAGTTTATGGACTTTATTTAAATTTATAACAGGTTATTTTTATTTAATTTACCTACAATAAGGTTAATCAGTAAGTATTTATTATTTTATCAAGAAAAATTAAGCACGGAAAATCTGCTGGCGGAAGTAATGGATATGTTACTAGTGACTTTATTTCGTGAGGACAATTGCTTGTTAGCCTGAAGGGTTCATGCACAAATATATCTAAATAGGAATTTCCTTTTCCTTGTTCCTTTGAAAAACTACTTTTCCTATTTCGCAGAGCTGATAGTGTAATTGGTATATGAAAAACCTATTGGCAGAAACCTGTAGTTGGAAGTGAAGAAAATGAATTTGCCTTAAATGGTTTTTTTATAGAAAATCGAATATGTCTACAAGCTACAAGTCATCGTAATATAAATCAAAGAATTACTTCTTTATTTTTTCTTGATAAAATAATAAATACTTACTTATTAAACTACTGTAGCTAAATGAAATAAAAGTAAAATGTTATAAATTTAAATAAAGTCTATAAACTATTGTCGATTTGTCACTAGCAAATTGCCATGGCAACACCAGCCATCTTGATTGCCATTTTATTGAAAAATTGCTTTTTATTCAAAATCTGAGCCAGATGCTGACTTATATAGTTTAAAAAAACATTTAAATCTGCTTCGACTTATTTCAAAAAATACATAGTGTTGTATTTGAAATAACGAAGTTTTAATGTAAAATAAATATTTAAAATGAGTTAATAAGTTTATTTCACTGGCTTGAAAGTCAGTACAAGAATTAATTCTGAAAAGTAATGTACAAGGTATTGACAAACTTTTTTATTATAGCATGCATATTTAAATATCTCTAAATGTCTCAAAACCAAAGCTTCTAAACATATTAAACCCTTACCGGGTGTTCCATAAGAAAAAATATAACTTTGGTATGGATCTTAGTTCTGACACACCCTGTACATTTCAAAATAATTTTAAATTATGCACATTGCCTCTCTGCATATACCCATAAAAAATTGTTTCTACATCTTTTCGTTTTCGTATAATCAACCGAGGCGAATGAGGTACGCCACCCTGTATACAGGGTGTTCCTTAATGACATGCTAATATTTAAGAGGGTGATTCTTGGACCTATTCTAAGGAAAAAAACTTCATATGCATGTATATTCTAAGCATCTTAATTTCTGAGATACAGGGTGGTAAAGTTTTCTAAAAAAAACTATTTTTCATAACTCTGATTTTATTATAGATATCTTTATGAAACTTGATACACGTCTTTTATGTGTCAAAATACCTCTTTTGGTATACAAAGATTTTTTTTTTATTTCAACCAGTGCCGTTTTATACGGGTTTTACATTAAATATTTTTGGAGGAAAAAGTGGTACACCACTGACCTTTTTTTTTTCATTTTCAAAATTTCCATTAATTTCTATACATTTTTATCTCCTGTTTTTTTTTCGCCTGACGCATAGTTTTTGCTTAAAAAAATTAAAGTCACTTTACTTCAGGGTTTACTTTCAAATCGCTGGAAAGCTGATCCGGTGACTATTGTGCGGAAATCATTTCTGCATTGGCTGGAAGGAAATTAAGAAATAAAACAATTTTTTAGTATATCAAAATAAGCATTTTGATAAATGGAAGACGTGTATCAAATATAACATCAGAGATATTTGAAAAAAATAGAAAATTTCACCACCCTGTATCTGAAAAGTTAAGATGTTTAGGAAATTGAATATGAAGTTTTTTTTCTTAGAATAGGTCCAAGAATCACGTCCTTAAATATTAGCATGTCATTAAGGAACACCCGGTATAATCTTGTAATGTCCGAAATAGCAATATTAAGCATCAAAATTGTCATCATCCTGGAATAATATGTTTTCAACTATGTATATTTTTTCTTGATAGTTAATAGTTGATGTGAGACCGATTTGAGATATGATAAACACTAATTAATAAATACCAAATTCGTGATTTTCAGCTACATAAATTGCACTACTATTCCAAAAATAAAATTTTCTTTTTTTTTGCAGGAATTCACAACGTGGAATCATCAAGAAGTTGAAGTATGTGTCAAGACTTACGCCGAATGGGTTAAAAATTTCATCACCATAGACGGTTATTTTATATTTTATTATGCGTTTAGGTTAATATTCGTTCACATGCTACCGTGCATAGCACTCGTAACATTAAACTTGTTGCTCTTTAGAGCACTTAAACAAGCTCAAAAACGGAGAGATATTTTACTCTCGTCAAAGAAAAATCAAAAAAACGAATGTAGAAAATTAAGGGATTCAAATTGTACTACTCTCATGTTAATCGTAGTAGTAAGTGTATTTTTGCTCGTAGAGATACCACTAGCTGTAGTAACCATGCTGCATATCATTTCCAGCTCCATTATCGAATTTCTAGATTACAGTGTCGCAAATACTCTAATTATATTTACGAATTTCTTTATTATTTTGAGTTATCCGATAAACTTCGCTATATACTGCGGCATGTCCAGACAATTTCGAGAAACGTTTAAGGAACTGTTTATTAGCGGAGCTGGTAATGCCCGGAATGGATCTTCCAAGTATTCGGTCGTAAACGGTCCAAGAACTTGCACGAATGAAACAGTTTTGTAACTGCGTTAAACCATTACAAGTTATCGCTTTAGGCATGCATTGTAAATTTCTACAAATCTATGACAGTTGCCATCAATAATCCTAAAAGATTTGTAAAAAAACTCAAAAACAGTTTTAGAAATCGGCTACGTATGCTTTTAGTGACTCAAGCCACCTCAAGCCTAACAACTGCTTTAACAAGCTTTAAGTGCGTATAGTTATAATAAAGAAAAATGACGTATTAATTTTACACAGAGGATTGGCCATAAAGGTTTGATTCTAAAAATAATTTATCATACACTAGCGTGTACCCGCGACTTCGTTCGAGTCGAATTAATCAATTGTAATGGTGATGATACAGCAAAGCAAGTATTTCCATTACTCAATAGTCATATTTTATGAAACACCCTGTATAAAAAAACAACTAAATAAAATATACGTGTTTAAGAGTTTTTCCGAAAAACTTACCGGTTTTTAAATAAAAAAATATTCTAACATTTGAGGGGTGGTTTCGCCCCCTTAGAATTCCAGTTTTGAAAAATCCTTTCTTAGCGAACCTCTACACCCTAAAGTCAATCCGTTTTCCAAAAATCAGCTTTTTACGTCAAACGCTTTAAGCAGGTTCGTGATTAATTAATGACCAGATTTTTCGAAACACCCTGTATACATTTTTAAAAAAATCTTAAAATATGTAAAAAAGCAAAATAAAATATACGTGTTTAAGAGTTTTTTCGGAAACTTGCCCGTTTTTAAATAAAAAATATTGTAATATTTGAGGGGTGGTTTCACCCTCTTGGAACTGGAATTTCGAAAAATCCTTTCTTATCGAACCTCTGCACCCTAGAATCAACCTGTATGCCAAAAATTGAGCTACTTACGTTGAGTGGTTTGAGCAGGATCGTGATTAATCAGTATGTCAGTCACTTAAGGATTTTATATATTAGTATAGATTTGCGGTTTAACCGAAAAACGATATTTATTATTATACAGGGTGGGTCTTAAATAAGTACAAATATTTTCAGAGCTGATAGATCTCAATAAAAGACATATTTTCTCTTTACCGTTTTCAAATAGATCTAAATTTACCGAGATATTTTACTTTGAAAATTCCACACCTGTAATTTTTAACCAATCAAAACGTGTTTTTTTGACAAATCACCATGGCAACGGATCAATTTTAGTGAAAATTTCACACCTCTACTTTTCAACCAATAACATGCTTTAATGTTAACTAGTTACCATGGCAACTGAAAAAATTTCCGGAAATTTTTTCGAGGCGCCACGAAACTTTAGTGGAAATTTTTTGACAGTTGAAAAGGTAAACATAAGATCTACAATCATAATGTGAATGAACTACAATGTCTATATAACTGCTTCCATACGCTTGGCTTCGATTTCCTAGTATTCGCCGGTGTCAACTGCTTAATCTCCTTGCTTTCATGACCGAAGCAAAACAATTTTTTAAGCCGTGCCGCTTGACAGCTTCAAAACTGAAGTAGTTTTTAGTTTTGGATGTCACTTAGTTGTCATAGTAGCTAAATAATCAATTCGACCAAAAATCGAAAAATACATTTTAATTATTTGATTTTCAAACACAATTTGGTGTGGAATTTTCTTACCGAATACCACACGAGGTCAAATTAAATCCGGACATTTTTTCTCGCTCACGAATATTATCCCGTCTTCGACTCGGGATAATTTTCAAAATATTCATGAGCTCGAAAAAATTTCCGGAAATAATTTGACTTCTAGTGGCATTACTAGTGAAAATTTCCAAAAAAAATGGATTCTTTGCTAAACTTTTGAGAACCACTGAATCTTTTCTGGATTGTATTTCTTGTAAATTTAATCTACTACCTACCTATGTTGCCATATTATGAACAAATTATATTTTATAAGCTTTTATTTAACTTGCTTTGTATGTATGTTTGTTCGGGACAAATCTTGTAAGCTAAATTAGAACCACTTCCTTTTATTGTAGGAAATTGAAATTTGGCCTGTAGGTTCAGTCCCGATTACAATACATTTTTTGCAAGGCATGACCCGAATTTTTGACAGCTGACAAAATGGCGGCATTTTTGAGGTTTTTGATTTTTTAAATTCTATTTAAGAATGAATCGGGCTGAAATTATATATATATATAGATATATATTGTGGGTATATACATATGAAAAAAATATATGGGCGGCCATCTTGAAAAAATGACAGTTTAATGATGTCAAATTTTCAAAGTAAAAAAAAAAGTCAACCGATTTTGATAAAAATCAATATAAAAGATGGCCATGGGCTAAAACGAATGAGAAAAATGTTTGAGCTGTCATATTTGACAACTGTCAAAAAAATTTCAAAGTTGTCCGATTTTGATAAAAATCGATATATAGGATGGCCATGGGCTAAAATGAATGAAAAAAAAATTGAGCTGTCAAATTTGACAACTGTCAAAAAAATTTCAAAGTTGTCCGATTTCGATAAAAATCGATATATTGGATGCCCCCTACCCCATAGTCGGTTTTCATTTTATTTGTCTCGCATTTGAACTGTCAAATTTGACAGCTGTCGTTTCTTTAAGTTCTCCTTTTTTAATGAAAGTCGATATACATATTATTAGGATGCCCATAGGAAGTTATTTAAGAAAAAAAATTGAGTTTAAATGTGTGGCACCGAGAAACCAGCATAACTAAAAAGTAGAAAATAAATTTTAGAAAAAAAACTTTTTTAAAATAAGCTTTTATTTAAATACACTAAAAAGAAAAAAATTAACTTTTTCTTTAAAACTTATTATGAACTTATAACATCATTACACAATTTTAATATTATATAAAAGCTTATCGCGAGATTTCTCTACATCGATAAACAAGTAAATTAACTAAAACCTGTGTCTACCCTGTATCATTTTCAAAGTTTGTGTTATGATAGACCACTAGACCAAGAATTACAAGATAAAGTTGTCGAACCAGATTTTTATGAGTGCAACTGTACAGGGTGGGTCAAATTCGACGCTTTTAAATGGAAACACCCTTTTCTATAGGAGATAGACAAAAACTAATATCGGTGTGAGCTCAATTTTTGTCAAAAACATGTTCGTGAAAACCACATATCGATATCTGTTACCGTTTCGGAGTTACGGGGTGTTTTTCAAAAATATGCATTTTTAACAAATCGCTGTAACCTTTTTGCTATGGAAAATTTTGTATTTTTATGAAAACATTTCCAAAACACCTTTTTACGTAGAATTTAATGGTTTAAGTATATTTTTTTTAAAATTTAAGGATTAATAAAATTTTTAATAAAATTTCTCGCGGAATTCATTAACTCGGTGGGGGTGAAAGATACACTCTTATAACTGCTAAGTATTTTTAATTCTTGTCTAGATATACGGAAGAATAAGGAACCTTTATTCTTCCGCAAATATATCCATAGGATTAGATTCATGTGCACTAAGTCACGCAGCCTTGACGGCCAACGGCTGGAATCTTGGTTAGCTATTCAATTATTCTTGAAATTGGATGCAAAAATTTGCTGATAACTTCAGCGTTCAGCGGTGGTGCGTCGTCTTGCTGGAAAAATATGTTTTCTAGTTCCATTAAGGGCATATCATCAATAAGGGGTCCAAGGCCTACTAGTTAAAAGTGGCGAACTTTTAAAAATTCTGTATTTCGAAGGGGATTATAACAAAATATCAAGTGTGCTATATTTTTGGAAAGGTAATTTTAAATTCTTTTCAATAAATTAAAAATATACAGGGTGTCCCATATAAAAATCAAATTTTTTGTTGATAATTCTTAAATTATTAATTTTAAAAAAATTATACTTAAACCATTAAATTCTACATAAAAAGGTGCTTTGGAAAAGTTTTCATAAAAATACAAAATTTTCCCAAGCAAAAAAGTTACAGCGATTTGTTAAAAATGCATATTTTTGAAAAACACCCCGTAACTCCGAAACGGTAACAGATATCGATATGTGGTTTTCACCATCATGTTTTTGACAAAAATTGAGCTCCAGACACCCATATTAGTATTTGTCTATCTCCTATAGAAAAGGGTGCTTCCATTTAAAAGCATCGAATTTGACCCACCCTGTACACTCAAATCTCGCGACAAGCTTTTAAAAATATTAAAATTGTGTAATGAGCTTATAAGTTCATAATAAAAGTTTTAAAGAAAAAGTTTATTTTTTTCTTTTTAGTGTATTTAAATAATACCTTTTAAATAAAACTTCTGACATTATTTTTTAAATACTATATAGAATTATGCTAAACTATAAAAAATAAAATATGTTACAAATATAATACATGATTTATCTTTAATTACAATGTTCCTAATTTTAGGAATCAATAATACTAAAATATAAATTCCATCTCTTAACGGGGAGAAGTGTAAGTACATACAAAGAAAAACATAAAACAGTAACAATAATATTATAAGTAAAAAATAACAATATAGAATAAATCCAAATATTCGCGGCATTAGTTGCTATATACGACGATGTATGTATGTCTTATTACAAACTATTACTATTACTGTTACACTATTTATCATCACTATCACGCATACAAAATTAGATCATAATTATACAAGTCCACCTGGTGTGGTGAAAAGCCATGGTTCAACGTTTGTCTTTGCTGAGCATCCTCCAAGTTTAAATTAATTTCTTGAAATTATTAGCTGTTTTGTTTTCCACTTCCTCTTGATAACACATTCTGGCATGTCAGTTCTAGAACACATCACATTTTCGGTGTATATAATGTATGTACATTATTTATCAAACTAACTGTGATATACATTAATTTACACCTAATTATACACGTACACATCACATCCTAGTTCACTTTAAATTAGACGAAGGTAACATAGAAAGAATCTTTTCTATTTCCGCCATACTGCAACGTTTGTCTTTGCTGAGTTTTCTCTGATTTTGAATGAACTGCCTTAAATTTTTCGTGGTAATCCAAATCCTCTTGAGCACGCACTTTCGCAGGTCGATACTAGAACGCACTTTAAAACAGGTGTCCGAAATGACTTCGTCATATTCTTCACATTTTGATTTTACACTATCATTCTGTTCTACCGTGCGAGATGTTGGAGCCATTTTCGATAACTTTTAAGAACTATATGTTTCTTTTAACGCTGACTGCTCTAAACTGCATTAAATTTTCATGTTAAGCTTACTTTATGCGTACCTAAGACTGTCTGTCCCACCCACAGGTGATTAATTTTATTATTATTTAATATTTATAAAAGATATATAAATAACATTT